CTAACCCCCGGTGTCCTATGATGTACGGTCAAGAAAACAGGGTTTTTGATCTATCTTTAAAATCCATTTTCTCTATCGCTCATTGAGGAACTGTGAAGAATTCTGAGATGTAGACCGCAGCATAACCCTTCATCTCACAATTCCTCAGAGTTGTGTCCCTCAATGGACGATAGAGAAAAGGATTTTACGGTTAGAACAAAATCCTCCTTTCTTGGAGTACTTTCTGTCCCCTCTATAATCCATTATCCAATCTGTACTACTTGCTAGAAACCGGGGGGGGGGGGTTTTTCAGGGCTGCCTTTATAGCTTTGATTTGCCAGAGTCCAGTCCCCTGAAAGTAGCCGCATAACCCATTGGTTCCAAAATAAACTCCCTGTGTCCTGTGATGTACTTCAAGAAACAAATCTTACAGGTTAAATAAAAATCCTGTTTTTTTTTGTATCACTAAGGTAAGGTAATGACTGTTCTATTTGCAGGTCGCTATTCTCTGCCAGTTCCTTAGAGAAGTTGATTATAAAACTGCCTTCAAGGCTCTCCAAGAACAAAATGGGTAATGTTGCCTCATTCATGTAGATAAAGTAGAAGTGTACCCATGTCTATACACGGGACTAACTTTTTTTTGTCCAATTCTATATTCCAGCCATGATGCCATGGATTCCTACTATGAATACATATGGGATGTGACCATCCTGGAGTATTTAACATGTATCCTTTCTCTAGCAGCCAGACCGAAAACCATTGTAAATGACATTGCTGAGCAGGGAAATGGTTCAGTGACGTGAGCAGTATAGTCGGCATTACCAAAAAACCAATCTCCTTTGTATAAAGTATATGTTGCTGATAGCAACCAGAGATGTGGATCTTCCAGCATATATAAGAATGAGAACAATGTGCTGTCATTTTCAGTACTTCTATCATCTGCATTGCCTTTGTTTGTTTCTGCTTAACTAGCCTTTTAGATTTACACCATAAAAGGGGAGAGGCCGATAAAAGACAGATAGCGGTAAGTTCATTTATTATTTATTCAGGATTAGCGCTGACAATTTACGCAGCGCTTTGCACATCAGTCCCTGCCCTCAAGGATCTTACAATCTAAAGGTGCCCATACACCTTACAACCATTGCAAGACTTTTGTCTTGTGATGGTTGTAAGGTAATTTAAAGCTCGTACGCTCTGCCCAACTTGGGACAGGCAGATCGTACTTGCGATCATCAAAAAAGTTGCACGCCTTCCAATTATCGTACGATAATCGCAAGGTTTAAGGCCCCTATCTCACATGCATACATAGGAGAGCCAATTTACCTTCCAGCATGTCTTCGATTTTCTCCCACATTCCAGATTAGCCGGAGGAAACCCACACAAGCACAGGGAGAACATACAAACGCCTTGTAGTGACCTGGCTAATATATTTAACTCCCCCACGCGCCTATAAACGTAAATACGCGTCCGGTGCCCCAGCACGCAAAAATTACAATTGCGCTACACATGTTACATATCGCCGCGAACGTCGCAGTGAGAGCAATCATTTTAGGGCCATCAATCACTGATAACACTAAACTGATGAGCGGTAACAGCTTTTAAAGCGTCGCCTAGGGCCAATTTTGGGTATTATCGTTTTTTGAGGTTTCGCGCGCATGCGCAATTTTAAGGCTTGACATGTTTAGTGTCTTTTTACCCGACGTGACCCCGTCTTTTATATTTTACCAAAAAATTGGGTAATAATAAATGTTTTATCATTTAATATAGGGGAAACAGTTTTTTTTTTAAAATTTCGGTGATTTTTCCTTAATATAGTAAAAAAATAAAAACCCCCAGTGGTGAATAAATACCACCATAATAAAGCTCTATCTGTCCCCAAAAAAGCGTATAAAATTCATTTCAGTACAGCGCTGCATGACGGAATAAATGTCAGTTAAAGTACCGCAGCGCTGAATACTGAAAAATGGCCTGGATGGGAAGGGGGTTTAACACCGCGGATGTCAACTGGTTAAAAAAGGAAATTATCAGGTCTGTTTAGACCCCCAATATTTCCCCCAAAAAGTAAAGAAAATAAAAAACTTTAAGTTAGAATAAAAAACATTTGGGGTTTTACATTTTGGTGCACCTCTAGTGGTTACCCACTTCTTTGGGGGTACAATTGATGAAGGTTTCCAGCCATCTGAGTCATGGGGTATTAGTTCTAGCAAGGCAAAAACACAAACACCACAACTGTTTCATTACCTGAAGATTTGGGCTTTTCAGAATGTTTCCCCCTTGATTAGCTGCATAGATTTGGCTATTTCTGAACCCATGGATGAACCAGAGCCTGCTGTAATGACTGTTCTCTCCTGTATCCAGATCAAAGCCATTGGACAACCCGAACTGAATGCCAGTAACCCTGAGGAAGTGCTGCAGTTGGCTGCACAGAGGCGGAAAAAGACCTTCCTTCAAGCAATGGCCAAATTGTATTTCTGACTTGTCATGCGAGTGTTTTGTATATATAGAATTTTTCAAACCAAAATAAATAGCAACAGTTTATTTTATACATATTTACATTTGTACAAAAACCATTCATTTCCGCCTGAGACTATACAGTTCATAACTTTACAAATGTACATTTTTTTTTTTTCCTGAACAGTGTAAAATGTGATAAAAAAATGCCAGCCTCCATCTTACAGCAAATAAAGGCAAATTATTACCAGTCCCAATAATAAAAAAGAAAACACTAAGATGTATCTAGCAGCATCACATTTCATAACTGCCCTGAAGGTTCACAGTACATGGGAAGGCACCAGATGTAGCACCAATGAACATGGCACATATATAACTTGGATCTTCTGGTTTGGTTTTGGGATAGGATGACGGCACTACAGCTAGAATGCCTTTTTGTCTGGCATGGCTTCCCAATGCTGCAGTAGGGAGCGAGCGAGCGATCTGCCATGAGATTGCCCATACAAGATGGAATTAAATAGCCTGTTCCAGTGACAGGAGATTCTTATTCCCAATGCTGGGGGCACAGCATCCCAATAGCGAGATTGTAGACCTATGGCAGGATTAGGCCACCCCGACCTTCCAGCTGTCGTGTAATTACAGATCCCATGAGACATTGTAAGACTGACAGCCATGAATCTGAGGCAGATGCATCATGGGATTTGTAGTTTTCACAAGCATTTGCCTACCCCTGCTGTACAGCATACAGATTTATTGATTTTTTTTTTTAGGTCTGGGAGGTAAAAAGTGTTACCAGTTATTCTGCATGTCTTCAGCTAACCACCCCTTAGACATTGAGCAGAAGCACCCCAGAAAGTGACAAGAATACACATTTTATATTCTATACCCCTGACCAGTATTAGAAGTTCTGTATTAGTTACCCACTTGGAGAATCAGTCACATAAAATTAGGAGCACAGTGCACGTTTCCCTTACTACCATAGGGGCTGCATTCATTAGTAACCTGTGTTCACACTGCAGTCAATGTGAATGATGCCGCATGCAGCTAAACCATGAGAACATAGGCAGCCACGGCCCACAAAACACCAATAGATAGCAGTGCGGTCTCAGCAAGACACCGGCTGCCAACACATTTCATATAGCCAGTGTGACCAAGGCCTAATCTGTCACCTGACATCAGATTATAGCTGATCTGGCAGCTATTATAAGGCCACATATAGCTTTGTTATTTTAACTGATAAAAGTACAGCGCACCAGTCCTTAGATCTGATGACTTCTACTTGCTGATCCTGCCTGTACCACAGTTCCTGTCTTAGGTGACAACACTCACTCTATACTGTAACGGATCAGCACGGTCTTCCTTAGCTCAGACGTCAGGGCTTTAGAATAATTTGCCTCCCAAATCTTC